TTATTTATTTATTTATAATCCCTAGCCTACCCAAAATCGTCGGAAATGCGAATTCGACCTATGAAATATTTTATCTCAATTTATTTTATCGATCATCTTCTTCCATCTTCTGTTTTCTATCTTCTTCTTCGTCCTTTTTTTTTTTTTTTTTAAACATATTTCTTCGTGGACCAATCATCTCGCATGGGAATTCCAGTTTCCGACGTACTCTCACCGATATAATGCAACATGTAAATTTTATAATATATATTAACATCTTCTTTTCATCTTCTCTCTCTCTCTCTCTCTCTCTCTCTCTCTCTCTCTCTCTTTCTTTCTCACACACACACATTCTCTTTCTTGCTTCTCTTATTTCTATTCTTTTTTTTTTCTGTATTTTTTTTTTGTATATTTTTTGTATATTTATTTAATTTAATTCTGGACTTCTTATTAAATACGAGCAGCCTAACTATAAACGCAGTTACAAAAGATTTGCCCTAAACCTTTTTTATTTATTTTTATTTTAAATCCATTTGTTTATAATTTTTAATTTTATATTATTTTTGATTTTTTCCTTCTCTATTATTTTGTTAGAACAAAAATATCTGTACGGATTATTGTATATTTTTGTATGTTAATATCTGTTAGTTTCTATGTAAATATGTATGTGTATGTGTGAGAGTGTGTATTATTGTGTATATTAGTTTAATAATATTTTTTTATTTGAGTATTTTTGTCAAATAAAAACGAATGATTTCTTTTTTTTTTCGTTTTTTTTTCTTTTTTTTTTTTTCTTTTAAATAACAATTGTCTTCGAGAAGGAATTAAGTAAGTGTGAGTAAAATATTTACAATTACGTATTCGAAAAAACGCGACGATGACGTTTAATGCATTTTTATACTTTATGTATATTTACGAGGGACGAATAGTGCGTGGCAAAAAGTCTTGTTTTTTTTTTTGTTTTTGTTCTTTTCTTTTCTTTTCTTTTTAATTCTAAAATTTTATCGATCTAAACGATCGCATGATCGATAATTTCAGAAATTTTAAAGAGATTTGTCGTAAACAAAGAAAGCAAATTTTTGTTCTTTCTTTCTTTCATTCGTTCGTTCGTTCGTCTTTATTTTTGATTATGATAATTGTTGTTCTCGTTATATAATAATATAAATTACATAATAATTTTGTATTAAAAGACGATCGATGACTATGCTAAAGCCTTCTCGTTGATAATTTCCGATTCGCTTAGCCCACAGCCTCGAGATAATACAACGGACAATTGACAATTGAATCGAACGACGTTTTTTTAATCAATTTCTTTTTTTTTTGTCTATTCTCTCGGCGGTTGTTTTTTTTTTTTTTCTTTTTTATTAATTATATTTTGATTAATTTTTTAAATATTAACGATTTATCCATGAGGTATATTCTAGATATATTTAATACGTATAATACGTGTATATGTGATCAAACTCACATTGTCCTATGAAACAATTAAAAAAACGACCTAGAAAAATAAATGTGTAATAAGATATTTAAAAAAAAAAAATATAGATGAAGAATGTAAATTATAGAAATAATTAATTCAATTCTTTCGTTGTGATTTGTATATTAATAACGGTAACGATTGGAACGATCTAACAACAACAAAAAAAAAGAACACGAAGATTGTTAAACGAAAAGAGAAAATAATATTCGTAGCTGAAATAAATTCTGTAAGAATAGGAAAAAGATAAAAATAAAAAAGGACAAAATGTATTTCCTTAAGGTTCAATAAGATGACAAGGAAAGGTTTACTGCGAAAGAAAAATGGGATTTTCTTCGAAGACGTTCTTTCTATTCTTGTATCTATGAGAAATAGAAAAGCGAACAAATAAAAAAAAATAATAAAAAGAAGAAAAAGAATAAGAAGAAAAGGAAAGAGAGATGACGGCGTCGAGCTTTTCTTTAAGAAATTCGATGCAATCGATATAATAATCGATTACAATAAATTTTCTAATAAAAAGAAACAGATAAAAAGAAAAAATATGATGATTTAACGAACGTAAAAAAATATTTATAGTATTTAGAAAATTTACGAGTTGTTCGTCGTTTTTAATACACGTTTTGCGCGTGCGCATAAATTCGTCAGGTTAATGTGAACGCGAGAATACGAAAAGCGGTTTACGATTTTCGAATAGGAAAAGCTTTTTTGTATAAGTCGTTGAACGCGATGAGAGAATTTCCTGTCTTAAAATACAGAAGAGGACAGAAACTGAGGATTAACTTGTCCTGAAATAAACTATCGTTGCTATGCTGTGCTACACAATACGATGGGGATGTCCAGGAAAACGTGAGAAGAGTAAGGGTTGGTAGGGTAAAGGGTTTTGGTTGGTAGGAGGAGGGTGGTATAGGCGTTGAAGGTGTTGGTATAGTAAAAGCGTAGCTCGACGTAAAACTTTTACGCGTGGCGACTACTAAAACAAAAGTAAAACTAAATTGAAAGTGAACTCTTTCGACAAAAAGAAAAAAAAGAATATGAAAAAAAAGACGCGCACGCAAAACAACAACAAAAATAGACGAGTGACGCAGAGTGGGTCAGAAAATTTTCCGAACACTTTTTACAATTGATTAGGATGTTTTTTTTCTCTCTCTCTCTCTCTCTCTCTCCACTTTCTGTTAACACGATTTCGAAATTAGTTTGCGCTGATTGAAATTTTTTATCGGTTGAATGAAAAAGTGGCAAAATAAAAAATAAAACAAAAGAAAAATATATATATATAAGTTAAAATATTAGAATCGGCTTTAAATTGATTTCGTGGCAAGAGAAAAAAAAGTTAAATGAAAAAGAAAGACTATTAAAATATGAAATTCACGTATTTTTTTTTTTAGAAATCTGATAGTTCGAATGAACAATTTTGGAATCATTAGAGTAATTTTTTTGTGTAATATTCGCGTATTATTTTCTCGTTTTAATATTTGGTTGTCGATCACGTTGTTAGGATGGTCCCCAAATAGTTTTAATGAAAATGTCAGTCTCTTCTGTGAAAAGGAATGCCCTCGAATAATTGGCAGTGCGCGTTTGATTCTCTCTCTATACATCAACTTTATTTTATTTTATTTTTTTTTTCTTTTTTCTTTTTTACTTTTACTTTTCTGCGACAAAATGGTGCGACTAGCTTTCCCTGGCGGGTGGGTTCTCTTCTTTTGATTTTTATTTATTTTTTCTTTTTTTTTTTTCTTTTTTTTTTTTTTTTTTTTTTTTTTTTTTTTTTTTTAAGGTAGCAATTTCTAGCGATAATGGACAATATGGACGTACTGGTTGGACGGACATCCACGTAGAACTAAACGTTGAATTTTTTTTTTACTTTCTCCTCTCTCTTTCTCCATTTATTTTTTGATGGTTTTCTCTTTTAAGACTTCGGGAAAAATGGCAACGCGAAGGAACTGTCGTTTGTGTTAAGGAAAGATATATGTATATATATATAAAAGAAAATTAAAAAAAAAATTAAACAAAAAATATATATTTTACCCTAATTATTATTATTTTTTTTTCCTTTCCTTTTCTTTCATCTTTTTCCATTTTTTTTTTTTTTGATTCTTTTTTCCATTTTTCTTTTTTTTTCTTTTTTTTTCTTTTTCAATCGATTCGAAGTTAAAGCGCGATCTAATTTCGAAATAATTTGTCTCATGAAAGTGCTGGGGCGGATCGATCGTTAGTCTTCGTCTTTCGTAGTTTCACCGTAGCGAATATGTTGGTCCTGTAAGAGATTTTCAAAGAGAAAGATTACTATACCTATACACATAATATTATTTAATGAAAAGAAAAGAAAAATAATTTTTATACGAGATAACATATAGATTGAAAAAAAGAAATAGGAGTTACACGCAATATCAAATGGAAAAAAAAAAAATTCTTCTCTAACTCTTTCTACTACTATTTTATGATAAATAATAATCATAATAATGATAATAATAATAATAATAATAATAATAATAATAATAATCGTATGTGAACATCGAAACTATAGAAGGTACATGCATTTATGCAGGTACAAATTTGCATAGCATACGAACGAGACAATACATTGAAATTTATTCCAAAAAAAAAAAAAAAAATACGAATTCTAATGTGTCTGGTCGTGTAGACGTATATATATATATATATATATATATATATGTATATATATATATGTGTGTGTGTGTGTGTCACAACATGTAACTTTTGAAACGAAATTTTATCTTTATAAACAAAATATTAATTTTATCTTTATAAAAGAAATGTGAGGATGTACGTACTATGAAAAAAGAAAAAAAATCTTTGTCGTACCGTGTGAGCAAACGAGACAAGAGTTACGAGTGAAGCAACAACCATAACGTTGTGTGTTACTCGCACGGTTCAACGATAAATTCAACAAAAAATACGTAATATCGTCATAGGACTGTGAGCATGATCGAAAAGGATAAACATCGGAGCTAAAGCATATAGGATTTTCAAATAATATTTGTGTAATCGTGAAAAATTATACGGACGGACACAAAAAAATACGAGAACAGGACAAAAACATAAACGAAACGAAACGAAACGTTGCCATAAGCTTATATTATATATCATCGTCATCGTATTATCATCGTCGAGAATATATCGAACACGTAGAACAATGCCAAATATCATGGGGGGGTGGGGGAGAGGATGTATTTAGGTAAAATGGAAGGTAACTAAAGTTAAACTAACCGTAATAAACTATAATCAAATAAAATATAATCAAATTGTAGGCTATATCGAAAAGTTTGTGTTGATTTTTTGTTTTTTTTTTTTTTAAACGGAAAACATTAGCAAATAACATTAATATATATATATATATTATGTGAACAAAAATATATATATTCAAATATATTCTTTAATAAATCAGCACGAACTTTCCGGTCAACCTAATCAAACAAAAAGAAACAAAATTGAGGAAGTATGGGGGACGGTGGAAAAAAAAAATAATTAGATAAAATAAAATAAAATATAAAATAAAATAAAATAAAATTAAAATAAAAAAAGAAACGAAACGAAACGAAAGATAGGAAAATATCTTATTGCTGTTTCTTCTTTTTCTTCTTATTGTTGACCGACGAGTCGACGCCCCATAGATCGTACCATGGACCGCAAACGTTCTTGTCCCTTTCGCGATCCGAATCACGTCTTAATTTGGTCCTCGGTAAAAGCGTTTTTTCTGAAACCGTTTGATCTTTGACGACGATGCAACTGTAAGTGGATTCCTCATCGGAAGCCTCGGTTTCACTAAAATTTCGTATCAGACCGTTGTCGTTCTCATTCCCATAACTTTTCTGTCCTCTCCTTTCGTTTCTTTTAGCTTCGTTGTTTTCTTTAAGCTCGGCAACGATCATATTTCTTTTAGCTTCGAGACTACGTTTGCGTTCCTTTTCAATGATAGCTTTTCTCGAAACATTTCCAACAAAGTATGCTCTTTCTTCTTGGTGCATTCGATATTCCGATCTCTCAATGACCTTGGGCCTTTCAGCGGGTGTTGGAAAATCTTCGAAATAATCATTTTTATCTGGTACGTGAATTCTCTCGGCCGGTTTCGGTTCATCTTGACTCGATTGATCATTCGTTAGGGTAACATCGCTGTCACGTTTTTCAAGACTTTGCCTGGACATTGGGCTACCCTCGGAACTCTGCTTGTTCGAATGTGATTTTTCCAAGGTGTTAGATTTATCATCGTTCATTTCTTTCTTTATCATTTTCGGTATATCCACCAATGAACGGTGTTGCCATAATGCCATTCCTTCCAAAACGTCGGAATCTCTACGGAATCTCCAAAATGATTTAGTTCTTTTCACCAATTTAGGACTCTTCGTGTCAACTTCGAAAGATCTTCCGGTTTGTATCAAATGACCAACGGCCGTAGTTTGTCGAGGTAACAACGGTCTTCTGTCATCTTTCAAAGTATTATTGTTATTGTCGTTTCTCTCCAAAGTATTTTGTCCATTTCTATCAACACGTTGAAGATTAGTTTGTTGTTGACCCAACATTGTTTGATAACCATGTCTCTCGATGACTTTAGTTCTTTCCAATTTGGTCTCAAAATTCGACTCGTAACCGCGTTCCTTTTCGAGAGAAATTGGATCTCTCATGAATCTACCAGTTTCACCATAAATAGCTTCCTCTTTGTCGGAATAACAACGATCGCGATAATAATTGCTAGAACGAACGTCGGTTGGTCTTTCGGGTGCTTCCTCGGACGGTGGTCTTGGTCTTTCGAAACGACGACCGGATGCGCGTTCTATGTTTCTATTTCTGTCAGGATTCTTCTCGAATGTTCTTTCTCTTTCATAAGTCGAATTATTACTTTTCGCGGTTATGCCGGACGATTTATCGAAATAACGTTCCCTTTCTTTCTCCAATCTCTGAGCCATACGACGATTCCTCTCGCGATCGTTATTATTATTATTATTATTATTATTATTATTATTATATCTGTCGTAATTGTTCTGATGTTGCTTGTCCTCCCTATTATTACGTTCCAAACTCTTATAATCGTGTCTTCTTTCAATAAATTTCGGCGGACTATGTTCCCGAGCATACTTTTGCGCAGTTTGTTCTAACTTTTGTGCAATATGTTCAACCTTTCTACCAGTTTCCGGTACAGTTATCGTACTCTCGTCGTCGCTATCGGACGACGGACTCGACGACGTTTTTTCGTTATCGTATTTCGAATCATCGGTTTCTAACGAACGATAACCGCTACGACGTGAATTACGATCCTGATTATCGATTCTATCGTCGTAATATTTTTTCTGATAATCAATACCAGAATTATATGGATCTTCCTCATCGTCGTCCAAATCCAACTCGTCTTCCTCGGTTTCCTCTTGTTCCTTGTTGTTAGATAGTTTGGCAGAATTGTCACGACGTAAACTTGATTGATTCGTTTGTTCGTTGTTGTTGTTGTTGTTGTTGTTATTATTCCTACGATTGGAATTTCTCGACGAGGTATTGTCATCTACGCGTTCGGAATATTTGTTACGGTGATTAGGATTTGGTCGATTAATTACGCGAGACGATGATTCGTATTCGTTCTTTTGAATCTTATCTTGTGCTTTTTTATCCCGTTTACCGGTAGTCGATTGACCATTTTCCATAGTACCACGATTAGAATAATCCCCACGTGTGTTCTGTCGATCCTGAGTGTTATCGTAACGTCGGTTACCACCACCGTTGTTAGAATATCTACCAGAACTTGGCCCCTCGTTCTCGTTGTTTTGATTCGCATTAGATTCAGCCCACAAGTCCATTGCCGTTCTGTAAAGTTGCCAGCTCTTGTCTTCCCTGGTTATCGTTTTCCACGAATCGTTTTCCCAATTTTTATCGTTTGAACTTTTCTGATCATCCTTCGATTGTTGTTGCTGAAGTTGTTGTTGTTGTTGTTGTTGTTTCCCAGACTCGTTAGCTCTTTCTGGACGTCCCTTTCTTCGACGTTGTCTGTTTTTATCGTTCAGGCTCAGGATGAGTAAAAATTGAAATGTACGGATGGAAAGAAAGAAAGAAAGAAAGAAAGAAAGAAAGAAAGAAAAGAAGAAAAGATAAAACTACGTGATGATAGGCAAATGAGGACAACCAAGAGAGCCAAAATGTGATATGTGATTTGTTGATACTCTGTACAGCTTGCAATTGCGATATAAAAAGAAAAAAATAAAATAACTAAGGGATCGTGCGTGTAAAGGGGGAATCGTGTCGGATGTGTGTCCCTGGGGTCTTTCTGAGCATAGGATCCAAAATAAAAGTGTGTGAGCCATCACCACGTCGGGTTTTAGTTCCATCGACCACGATAACGCATGCGGAATCTACAAAGAAGGAGAGAAAACGTCATAGCAAGTCAAAAGAAAAGCTTAGGGGCTGTTAACATACCGCAGGTGACAGGGTAGTAGCGCGTTCCTCTCATTGTTAATCCTACGTACTCTTTTTGTTTGTTTGTCTGTTTGATTTGTTTTGCTTTTCGGTTTTTTTTAATTCGGGCCGATCGAGTGAGTTGAGGGGTAACGGGGGTTGAGAAGAGTATCTTAATGACGGCTACGTCAGAAAAACGCAGCAATAAAAAGATCTATGGTGTATCCAGCGTAATACCAAATACCAAGTAATAGCAATAATAATAATAATAATAATAATAATAATAATAATAATAATCAAAAAAATAAGTGAAAATAAAATATTAATGCGGGCCATTAAAGCTATCTTACAAAGCTCTTCCAATCCTTAATCGCTTAATCTCATTCAAACACAGGCAGAAGCGTTCCAATATCTAAAATCTAATATGGTCAATCTTGAAATCTTGATCTTTTAATTTTTAATAGCAATCGAAGTATATAAGTTAGAATGAAAATAAATAAATAAAAAAACAAAAAAAACAATAATAAAAAAAAATATAAAAAATAAAGTTTCCCAAGAGGTATATCAACGATGAGCAATTGAAAATCTACGAAGTAGAGAAAATCTTACCTCATGGCCTCGTCGTCGCTATAATCGATATCCGGTTGAGCAGGTGGTTCGTTAGAAAATCCACTGTCGTTGCTACTGTGAAGGGAAGTTACTGCTTGGGGTGGTGGAATCGGTGGGACAGGTGGTTGAACTCTACGACCACCTGCCAAGACTGTTGGCAATGTACCCGATGGACGGATCTGATAGAAAGTTCAAATAATATAAGACAAATGATTGTTATGAGAATAAAATGACAATTGAACGATTAACTTATTTCGATTTTGATTGTAAAGTATATCAGATTATTTATCCTCACCGATTTGGATTGCCGAGCTGTCGGAGTAGCCAAATTGTGTGCACTGTTACTGTTAGGTACATTTGTCGGTGTTCCACAGCTACTAGTGTTATTATTATTGCTGTTGCTGTTCATGTTATTGCTTCCAGAACCATGATGACCACTCGATAACTCGTCGATGCTACTCGGTGTGACTGGTGGACGAGAGGGTGGTGGTTTACACGGTGGAACTGCTTGTGGTTCCGGTGTTCGACCATTGCTTGCACCATGACTAGGCGATCTTTTTATCATATAACAATTACAACGTATAATATTAATTTTCAATTACGTTATATATTAAATAATCATATAATATAGAATTGAAATTATATTGAATAAGATACTTACCCTAAACTATCGTCGATAATAACTTCGGTATATGCCAATGGGAACCATCCCGAACTTTGTGTACGAAGATTTTCACCGAATTGCCAGCCCTTTTGACGATCACCTAACAATGTTAACGATTCGCACATATCAATTTCTAAACTATCCATCCATTCGGAAAGTTAGAATCGCAAGAAATCTGACTGGCAATCCTGCCAATTAACGTTAATCACATCCAGTTCGTTCGTTCGTTCGTTCGTTCGTTCAGTCGTTCGTTCGTTTGTTCGTTCGTTCGTTCGTTAGTTAGAATTTACGACAATTCTCAAATAGAATTTCATGGAATTAATGGCGATTGCTGGTAAAATAGAAAGGAAGGGAATTTCCGATCGGATTGGCAAGGACTCACCCATCAGAGCGATGAGATCACCCTCTAGAAAGCTCAACTGATTTTCTCCAGAGCTGAGATAAGCGAAGAGTGCTCTTGCGAGTGGTGCATCACCCCAACCTCCAGAAATCGGTCCTGTGCCATTGCCACTGCTACTACCTCCTCCACCTACACCACCACCACCTCCTCCACTACCACTACCTCCTCCTCCTCCTCCTCCTCCTCCTCCTAGTCCTCCAACACTGCTACGAGAAAGCGGAGGAGCCATGGATCTGGGTCGTGGGGGAGTTTCCGGAACCTCTGCAAACATAAAAAGAACATTTCTGGTAATTTCGTTCGTTCGTTCTAAACTTTACTCGTTCCCCTTACTGCAAGACCTATTTTCCATCTTCCCTGTTTGCTCGAGGAAATTCTTTTAAGGATGAAAATAAATTCTATTGTTAGTTATTTAAAAAATATATATGTATATATAAAAAAAAAAAAAGATTCAATATTTAATATTGAAAATTTGAAAACGTAGTGTAGTAGTTTTATCAATTAATTATTGTATCTTTATTGTATTCGTTAGAAGTACGTAATGTTTGAATCGAAATATTTAATATTATTTATCTACGAATTTTGTAATAACAATTCAAATATTATATTTTAAACTCTCGTGTATAAATATTAAATACTTCAAAATAATTAAAACAGAGGGTAAAATCATTAAATAAATTATATTTAATTATTCTCGTATTTTTTGTTGTCATTAAACAAAAAAATATGAAATAATTTCGTTAGAAATTCTCTAGTAGAGAATAAATTGATCGAGAGGATAATAATAATAATTGCGTTATGTATAATACAAATGAATAATATTTCTAGTATTTTTCTACATTACGTGTTGGTCTAAGAAGAAACGAACCATGCATGAAGGAATGATCAACGGGTAGTTTTCAGTATCGTTATGGGGAAAGAATATGGGATACACATTGAAACGGTGTGGGGGAGGGATGAAGAGAATTCTCCGTCGAATTTATGGGCTATTGTATGGTACCTAACAGGAGGGGGAGGGGGGGGGTTAGTGAAACTACGCCGAGCCAACGAAATATGTCTTGTGTTAAAGATTCCGTGTGTGATACGAGGATTTATAATAATTGAAAATCTATGGGGGATAGATACGACGACGAAGAAGAAGAAGAAGAATAATAATAATAATAATAATAATAATATGATGAACGCGAACCGAAACTTTTATCAAACGATTAATTACTCGATAACTTATAATACAGAACGTGGAAACAATGATCAACCGATCCCGTAAAAATTAAATGAACAATTTTTCTCTTTATTCATGAATGCTATCGGATCGTTTGGTTTTTTTGTTTTTTTTTTATCGTAGAAATTTTCTTTTTAAAATCAAACAAATTACTCTTTACATTCAAACTCGAAAAACATTTCAGACGTGATTTAAAATTTAATTGTGTTTTCATAGTGTTCGTAGATAGAATTATAAGAGGGACGATATTTGTAATACAAATAAAGAAGAAATTCACACAAATGAGTAATGTGGAAAAAAATTAAATAAAAATAAATAAATAAAAATAAATAAATAAAAATGTAATAGGAAGGATGGGAAAAAGTTATGGAAATTTTAAAAAATCACTATATCAGAGATCGTAAAAAAAAGACGACCTTTTTTTTTTTAAATTTAAAATTGATAGAAATACAAAAGATCAATAGAAATGAAAAAATAAAAATGAAAAATCAATAAAGATGCAAAATTTGAAAATCTGGAATGGTATTAGTAAATGAGATCATAAGAGGGAGAGAGAGAGAGAGAGAGAGAGAGACAATGATTAATGCATCATTGACTTGGGGGATATCTACACGAATAGGTTGAAATAAAACATGGAAAGCGGCGATTTTGAATAGCAAAATCCACTCCTCGTTTATATATATATATATATCTGTCTCCCTTCAGGATTCTATTCAAAACTACCCTCCAATATTATCCGCACCGTCTGTGTTTCCAAACGAGTCCGGGTTAAAGAGGATTTTCAAAGGTCAGCGTAATATCGAATATGCGTTCGTCGGATCGTAGAATTACTGGAGCGAAAAAATTATGAGTAAACGCGTCACACACTATGCATACACATATTCACCCACATCACCCCCCACTCTCTCACACACACACACACGAATATAATGTGTATACTTGAATTTCTTTATCCTAGGTATATTTTCAAAACGTTCTTCGTTTATTTTCTCTCAACGAATATATTATTATTAATAATTATTGCATATATTCCCATTATATAATAACGTACGAGTCATCACATTTTTCGAACGAATATGGAAAGGTAATAATAATATTTCAAAACATTTCTCTTTCTTTTTTGCTTGCTTCCTTGCTTGCTTGCTTGCTTGCTTGCTTGCGTTAACATTGAATCAACAAAAACAAGTATTTTCACGATATGATCGAAAAACGTTGCCACCGGTTGGTTGTTTCACAGGAGCAGGATGAGGAGTAGGAGTAAGAGGAGGAGGAGGAGTAGAAATACAGGAAGGTGATAGGTAGAAAATCATTCGAACGTCAAATCACTTGGCAAACAATCGACTGATTTGTGATTCAAACGATATCAAAAAGTATTACGCGCGAAAATAACGCGTGTGAAATCAGTGAACATTGTAATTCGAAATAACACAAGAGACAGAGAGAGTGAGAGAAAAAAACGAAAGAGTTAGTAGCAATGGGTGTGCTGTTTGTTGTTGGTGTTACTAACGATGGTGTCTCATGGTGAACAAGTTTTCACGTATAAAAATGTAAAAATGTCTGCTGCTGCTGTTGGTCCCGACATATCGTATAGGAAACAAGTATACACATTACGCATACAAACACACACACACTCACACACATGTATCTACGCACTAGGAACAAATACACAGATACTTGAACGTTTCGGATATTCGCAAATTAGCAAGCTATTTCGAGAGCGTCGGTGGTAGGAAAAAAAAAAAAAAGAAAAAAGAAAAAAGAAACGCATTGCAAGTGAGCTGGGAAAATGGGGGAGGAGGAGGAGGGGGGGGGGAGAGTAGAGGGAAGAGGAAAAGGTTGAGGATAGGACGAAAAAGGGGGAGGTCACGAGCTTTCGATCGATTTCGCGCGCCGGTTTGCCGGCAATTCGATCGGTAAGTTTTCATAGATTTCTCTCTATGTGTATGTGTATTTATATGTGTATGTGTATATGCATGTGTTTCTCTGTTTCTCTCGTGCTTGGCGTTACGATTCGAGTGGAAAAATTGCAAATTCTCGAACGGTCAGGGCAAATAACAACCGAAAGGGCTCAACACTCGATATACCATCCCTTTCGTTCATGGTTACACCCCACCCCCTCCCTTCCCCTTCCCCCTTTTCTACCCTGTTCCAGTATGTTTTCTTCTCTCTTTCTCTCTCTCTTACTCGGTAACGTGTATCTATATTACTCTCTTTACATCAATGATGACTCGTGGTGATGATGCTGTCCAGTAACGTTACTCAGTTTTCGTTCTATCCTCTTTCGAAACAGTTTCGACGAACACACTCTCCTGGGTTTGTTCGAGCTTCAACCATTTTCGTTATATCTGCACGAGTGGAACCGCGTTGATGCATAAGAACATTTCGAATGGAAATTGATCAGAAATATCTCGCGAGCTCGTAATAATATTATATTAATATCTTATAAATAATAGGATTGTTTTTCTTTTCAATGAATATATATATATATATAGTTATCTCGTTAATAGAATAAAATTTGATTATTATTTTTTAATTTTTATCTGTGAAATAAATTTGTAAAAATAAAATCGACCTGTCTTTTTTTTTTGTTTTGTTTATTTTTTCCTTTTTCTTTTTATAGAAACGATACCAATATTTTCTTTGAGGAATTTTTTCCGATACAATTATGTAATAAAATATAATAATATTCGTCGGTGTTACAAAAAATATGGTCGTTTCATATCGAATAATTTGTAATGGGGTGATGGCGGCGTGGAGAAGGGGTAGGTGAGGGAAAAGGAAAAGTTTTGAGGAAAACGAATTTGAGAGAATTTCGTGCGGTTCGTTTAATTATTATTCGTATTTGAAAATAATCCTATCCTCGCGTGGTGTTCATCGAAAGGAAAGAGAAAAAGAGAGAGAGAGAGAGAGAGAGAGAGAGAAAAGGAAGGTTTTCGTTTGGTTTGCTTTTAGTTAAAGGTATATTCGAATTACATAGAGCGCAACCGATACATGCCCGATCCCTTCTGAATCCGTAACTGAAGTACTAAAAGCTTGCGCGTCAGATTTCTGTTCGGACCTGCCTATAAATTCGATTACAAGGCTGAAATCTATACCATCGGGCTTGGTTAGTTCGTGCTGATACTTCTAATCATGTTGTAACGCAATCAAATATGCCACGCACGTGCTCTTAAAAAAAAAAAACACAAGAATTCGAACAATTTGATTTTTCACTGATTGTCAAATGAAAACCTATTGAAGAATACTTTTAATGAAATTATATTGCTTGAAATATTTAAAATCGATGTAAGTCTTTTTCTTTTAAAACTAAGATTATTATCAATTCGTTTTAATATATTTCCTTTATAATAATATAAAATTAAATTAATTACGATTCCCCTGTAACTATGCAACCGGTCAAACTGTCGGTAACGTTGCTCGCAAATTCGAGTTATCGGTAAATAAGTTTCTTTTTTTCTTTTTACAAAACATTTGCATTAAAATATTCAGATAAATAAATAATATCAAAATTAATTAAAAAAACAATATTGCACTTGTATTATTTTGTTGTTTATTTATTAGATGTAAAAAAATTAAAAGATGAAATAAAAATATACGTCGTTTTTTAATTTATATAAATAAAATTTCGTATATTATATAGAAGACTGGGAGTAAAATAAAATAAAAAAAAAAGAAAAAAAGAAAAAAAAAGAAAAGAAAGGAAAAAGTATTAATAGATTTTTACCTGGACCGAGGGATAACGTGGAGGCATGCAAATTGGCCTCCGATCGTGCTCTGGAAAGCACAGCTGGTAAATGCGGTGGTGGTCCGTGATAAGCACTGGAGGGTGTGTTGCCAGATGGTGGACCAAGACGAAGTTCCAAACAAGAACTATCCATGCTTCGTGTTTTCCTCAATTGTGAACTCATTGTTAGTTCCGATCCACCATTTTCTTCGTCCTCCGGCCAGAAAGAAACTTGCTATAAAACAAAAAAAAATAATAACAAAAAATAAGATCGCAAAAACATTATTATGCTTTTCATTATAATATCGTCAACGCAATTTGTGTCGTGGAATATCATATCCATTAATTAATTAATTAATTAATTATTATTATTATACGATAAATAAATTGCCGTTGTTTTATATTTCTATAGTTAAAACATAAATCTATAAAATGATATTGAACAATAATTAATTGCAATATAGAAAATGATAATTAATCGTGATATTATATTAATAAACGATTGTGTTAATTAACAATTATTTATTTCCTAGAGAAAATTCTCATTTATTTTAAATAATATTATATATCATCGGGGTGGCGGGGGGGGGATGGATGGATTTGAAATTCTATTAATAATTAAGTTAGATTAATTTTTGAATGAAAGTAGCAAACTGTTGGAAGCAACAAATGTCGATCAATCAAATGTAATATTCTCTCTCTCTCTCTCTTTCTCTCCCTTTCTAGTCAAAACTTACCCTAAGTCTCGAGGCGAACATGTCTTCAACAGATTGTGGTAAATATTCACGAGTAGCTGCAACTTCGCGCCATTTGTCAACCGACGGATGAAGGGCCGCAAGGGCGACTTCGTAAAAACTTGCGCAATGTTTTGCCAAAGAACATTGTCGTTCAAGAACGAATCCGTACCTTCTTCTTTCTTGCGTCATTGCCTAAAACAATAATAATAATAGACAGTGAAAAAATTAACAAATTAAACGAATTGCATTTTTATATTGGTTACAAAAAATAAAAACAACAACAACAACAATAAATACGACCAACACTCAGCATGGTGTGTTTATTTGTTTGATCAAAGATACGATTAAACGAAAGGAAAAAAACAACCAATTAACTCACGTTTTTTAAACTTTGTTCACAAAAAGCGTCGAGTTTGGATTTTTCTTCCTCGAGTATTTGCATATTTTTCAATTCCTTGTCCATGGCCAATCCACTTTTGCCAGCACCTCTAGATTTTTTCCTTTGCTTTTTCATGGTGGCTGCAGCCTTGCTATAAGTTTCCGATCTGGTCTTGTGTTGTTGCAGAAATTTCTTCTGTTCGCTCTGCGTTCGAGATAAATTTTAATTATCAAAAATTAATCCCAACTCTTATATATAATTATTTCTTTTACGAATCTTTTAAGTAAACATATATATTATTATTACTATTTAAAAAACTTGAACTTTAATTGTAATTTAATGTTATTTTTAACGTTTACAATAATCTTACGCTCGGTTCAGAGTTTCTATACTCAACTTTTAAGTCAATGACTACAAAACAAATTTTACCAAGTTCTAAGAACACTTACTCGTAAAAGTTTTCTAATTTTAAAGTACCGAAATATGATTTCTTGAAATATATATTTTCTAATATTATAATAGTACCCAAATTATATTCCTTTAAAGTTTTCTTATCATAGAATACCGAAACAAATTTCTCAAGTTATTTACTCGTATATTTTAAAACAACCTGTATGGTATGATACATAAGGTGTGTATACTCACCTGAACTACCTTCGTGTCTTTCTCCAAGTTTGTTTCTAAGGGTACCAAGAAATCAACGTAGAATGCCTTCAGCTGAAATAGTCAAGAAAAGAGAAGGCGTGTTAAGTGGGCTTTCAAAAGTGAAAGAAGAACTTTAATGCATACAAGGAGAAAAGAGAAAAATAGAAAAAGAAAAAGAGAAAGAGAAAGAAGAAGACGTGACGAGTACCCCGAGCAAAGGCTTACGTAATGAGACACTTTTACGTTTGCAGACAGTGTAAGAAAAAGTCTTCACTCTCTTTACTTGTCAAAGTTAAAGTTAGGCCAGCAGACCAAACTGGACATTTTTCTCGTCTATTCCTAACTGACCTATTTTTCTCAACTCAACTCAACTCTTATAGTATAGTACTCTTATTCGTCTGCGAAATATGACAAAAGCATTGGTGGTAGTGGTAGTGGTGTAGTAGTGGTGGTAGTAGTAGTGGTGCTACTGCTACTACTATTTGGTTTCTTTTCCTCTCTCTTACACTTAACTTTGAACAACTTATTCGCAATTTACTGTTTGACGTAGGATTATATATTTATATGTGTGTGTGTGTATGTACATAGATCTCCCTATTTACGAACATCTTTTCTCTTCGTTAGGGACTTAAATTTTTATCAAGCTTACGCCCTTCAAATCCTTCTTTCTCATCATCAAATATTTTTTTTTGTTTTTCTTCGAGAATGATACTTGCCTTTTTTTCTTTTTTCCTTTTCACCCCGTCCTCCTCTTTCCTTCTTTTTTCATTTCTTTTCTTTTCTTTTTATTATGCGTTCAACGAACTCGTTGGAATCAACTGACGGGAGGTAAATGAATGAACGAATGAATTATCTCGAATGAACTTTTTATTCTTTGATTGGGGAAACAAAACTTTTGGATTTTATTGATAACGTTCAACTACGGCTCATTTATTTTCTTTTTTCTCTTTAGTTTTTCTTTTTTTTTTTTTTTTTTTTTTTTTTTTTTTATTATTAATTAAATGAACCACGTCTTCTTTTGCACACGGATAGTAAATGTTTTAAACGAGTAAAACCAAGCTCGGTGCATAATAACTTTGATAAACNTTTATTGATAACGTTCAACTACGGCTCATTTATTTTTTTTTTTTTCAAAAGTAACGCTTTTTTTTTTTTTTTTTTTTTTTTTAATTTTATTAATTAAATGAACCACGTCTTCTTTTGCACACGGATAGTAAATGTTTTAAACGAGTAAAACCAAGCTCGGTGCATAATAACTTTGATAAACGTTCGCGAGACGTGAGAAAACCACGGCAGATCTTTCATACATGCAGGTTACTTTGAATATACGTGTGTGTAAATAAATGCATATGGGTGTGTATATATATATATATATATATATGTATGTATAAGTAGATACAATCTACCCAAGTCTCATAAGCAACCATGAAACGTAGCCGCATAAGGCAACTAAATCATAAAACCACCAAGCATAGTTATCGTTCCTTTTCCTGTTAAAAACATTCTGCGAATTATGTATCTCGTGTTCTCCCCTACAATATTTGCCAAAAATTTCAATCTTCTGCGCAGCGTTTGAGAAATTATCAAAATAATTATTATTATTATTTTTCCAAATTAATTATACTCGAATAAATATTTATGAAATATATATTTTATCTACGATTATATATAATTAATTATTGAGAGAGAAATTATATTATTGTATAATAATCATTTAATTAATAGTAAATTAAATTAATAATTAAATTAATACAAACATTCTATATACGCAATAATATTTATTAAATTAATATTAATGAATTGAAACTACGTTTATATATGTTTGTGTACACTTTTAATAATTTTTTTATACAAAAAAAAAAGAAGAAGAAGAAAATAATTCTTTTTATTTTTCCATTTATGATCAAACGATTGGAATATAAAATTTGTATCAAATTCGTAGAAACGATATGGGTTCTTTACTTTTCTTTTCTTTCTCGTACGTTATCGAAAACGTTTCTAGTTTCCTGTGTTTTCGTACCTCAAAGATCGATTTTGATTTTGCTTTAGAATTTCTTTTTCGTTGTTACACACTTCCTCGTTCTTTTGAATTTCACCCTAAAGCGAATTTCGAAATCAAGGTGAGTGGATACTCGCGCGCGCTCGCCCAAGCTTTCAATGGTTCAATTCAAACTTTTGCTTCTTCTTCTTCTTTTGTAAAGTCGATCAAAAGGAAAAGCCAAATCCAAATCGAACATACCTTCGACGTTCAACGTCGAATCACATAGTATTACAAAAAAAACAGAAAAACCCCACCCCTACGTAACTCTTTCGTGTCTTTCTCGTCTATGTAGATTTTTCATTATTAAAAATAAATTAAAAAAAAAAAAAAGAAAAAAAGAAAAAGGAGAACGATAATGAAGAGAAAGAGAAACGGGATAAAAAAAAAAAAGACAATCTTCAATAAAAATTCTTCTCGTGTCTGTTCTCAACACACAAATATCGTGATTTAACAAACATATTTCTCTTTGTATTTCTTTCATTCGATCTATAATAAATTTCCACATATAATCCCTCCCACCTCATCCCTCCCTTTCTAACGTTTCATATATTAGGTTTCTGATTCTAATATAAACGAAAAAAAAAAAAAGATACTCCTTTGACGTGATTTGTTACGAACAAAAAAAGAAATTACATTCGAACGCACGTATATATATAACGAAAAGAAAAATTCATTATTATTATTATTATTATTATTATTATTATTATCATCGGCGAATAATAATGAAGATTCTTTATTATCATATGAAGAAGTGATCCGAGAGATAACTTTCCTTTGTTCCAATTAAAATTTATCCTTTATCTCTCTTTGTCATACACACACGTGGATTTTATACATACGCGAATAGAAACTCAGGGAGAAAAAAAAAAAATACTCAATCTGATTCTATCTAAAGAATTTTTCAAACCTTTGAGTTACGAGCTGATCCGATCACAAAGGATTCGAAAATCAAGCGAAACGAAACGAATTGTCTCTCTCTCTCTCTCTCTCTCTCTCTCTCTCTCTCTCTTTCTCTTTTTCTCTCTCTTTGATAACTTCATCGTGATATTTCACGTCTGAAAGTAATAAAACACGGAAAAAGAGTGAAAGAGAATGAGAAAGAGAGAGAGAGAGAGAGATTTTTTCTTTTCATTTATCCAGTCGACAAAAAAAAAACAAAAAAAAGGGAAAAGAAGTTCTGAAAATCGAATAAATCGCGTGATATCGATAAGAACGATGTCATTGAAAGGTGATCAAGAGTTTGAACTTTTCAAACTCTCCTTTCCTCTCCTCTCTTCTCTTCTCTTCTTTTTCTTTCTCTCTTATTCTCTCTCTCTGTCTATTTAACTCACTAACTCAAGTTTTTCTTATCTCTTACGAATTAGCTGTGATATCGACTAAATTCTTTTTCTTTATTCATGTTTCTTTCTCTCTCTTTCTCTCTCTCTCTCTTTCTCTTTCTATACTTTTCTCTGCCACCCCTAACTCTCGTATACTTTTACTTTTCTTTTTCTTTCAAACTAAGATAAGTGATCACGATTATTCGAGTATTTTTATGACGTTAAGTTCAATTACGTAGCGTAAAAAAATACCTGAAAATAAATAAATATTTCTTTTCACATAATCAGATCGTTTTATTTTTTCTCAACGAAAAAATATTTTCTCTTTTCAGCGAAGAAAAAAAAAAACATCAGCCTTTTCGCGTGATTCGTTTGGCTAGAAAATTTAAACAAAAAAAAAAGAAAAGAAAAGATAGACAGTTGGAATATGGAAGATAGCCAAATTGGCCCACCCCCAAATACTCAAGGTCACTGGCTGGAAGATGTTACTCGTGAAAGAAATAAATGTTAAGGGGGAGAGACCGTACAAGGAAGAGGATGGGGGTGTGTAAAGAGACATGGGAATGCAAAGGGTATGAGAATGATAAGGGGAATCGTGGGGGGGGGGGTGAGTTTCGAATAAAATAGGTCGATCCCGTAACTCGTCGAACTCGAGTACTACCCTCCTTCCCCATTCGAAGAGCATGCCAGGATAAGAAGAAAATAGACAAAGAGAGAAAGAGATATAGAGTCTTGGTGGTAGGGGGGGGGAGAAGAAGAAGAAAGGGAGATAAGGAGAAAAAGATATAGACAAAGAAAAGTATATGACGGTAGTAGTATTCTCAAGGGAAAGCGTCTGGAAAAAATTACGCATGTATACATACATATATATATATATATATATATATATATACACATACACATGTACTTTATATGACGTACGTTTTATGTGCATTTCGTACAATACATATAGGTATATAAATATATCAACCTTTGTGTGGGTGTGTTCACCGTTGTTTGAGATATTTTTTTCTAAAGAAAAAATATTGCCGATGTATTTTATTAAATTAAGAATTCTAAAAAAAGGGGGGGAGAAAGAGAAAAATCCAAATCGGACATTAGTAATACTTTTATTATATATATATATATATATTTAAATATTATTTATATATATATATATAAATTAACTCAAGAGCTCTTTTATGTAGATTAATATTACTGATTATCCTCTGACGTATTTTCTCATAAATTTTANTAGAGATCTTAACAGACGAGATTTGTTAGCACGGAGAGAATAATTTCTGGATCGAACGTGTGTGCTCGTGTTTGCGTTGGAAATTTATTTTATTCTTTTTTTTTTTTTTTTTTTTTTTTTTTTTTTTTTTTTTTTATACGAAAAAGAGAAAAATAGGAAATAGAATAGAATTATTAATGCAAACGTGAACTTTTTATTTTCCCTTCATAACACGAATTTCGCGTACGACATTTATTTATTTATTATTTTTCCCTCTTTTCTTTTGTTTTTGTTTAAATCCATTATAGAATAGGTTGGGCAATGTTTATTAAAAAGATCTTACTTGGTGGGTGGAAGAGGGGGACGCGGGGGCGCGGGACGTACCCCGTACACGTATATATGCGAGTAAAACCATATACCGTTATATACGCAAACTTGTAAAAAAAAGGGTGGAAGAGAAAAGTAACGCGAATCGCAATGGGGGGGGGGGRGGAAAAAA